AGTTACTTAAATTTAAATCAAATTAAAGTATAATCACCCAATTAAAATTATAGTTATCATATTGAAATGAGATGAAATTAACGTACAATTACCTGATTAAACTAAAGTAAAAGTATAATTACCGCGAATAAAATTTACCCTAGCTTTAAGATTAACGCTTCACAAGTGCATGGATGGCATGCATTTCAACTTGAAGACAGTACAATAACATTGTAAAATACTTTATACTACGCCTTATCAAACAAGCCACAAGTCCAAACCAATAACTCATTTTGCACAAACTATAACTTTATCATCAATGACGAAGAGGGAAGTTGGCACTTCATTATGTCAAGCCAATTGCGAAATTCTTTCTAAGAATGCTCGAATTGACCCTTACAATTCGGCAACATACCTAGGTTCATAATCTAGTGTAAAACTACAGCCCTATTTGCTGAATTTCAATTAGCTACAAATATAGAGTACGAAAGTGAATCAACAAGGAGCTACAAAGGACAAGAAGAAATCTTTTACCAATCATAATTTTACATAAACAGGTCGACTTTTTGTATAGGCATCACATTTGTTTTCTCTTCAGGAGAAAAATAATCTCTAATCCATACTCTTCATTTTTATACAATTTTACACCTTATACTTCCATTTCTAGAGCTAGATATAAAGTGTTTCGACCTTGGTTTGCCTCATTGCGAGGCCACCAATGATAAAGTCAAAATTGAAAACACAGAAGCCACTCTTAATTTAAACTGTACGCAAACTCTTAAAATTCTCTTCATCGTTTCATACTTGCCCTCAAATTTTCTATAGTACATCAATCAGGAGAAGGATTATCTAATTGCAAAACAACCATCCAATAGCATAATTTAGAAGTACAAATTTCACAGAGACAACTGAATATCGCCTGCTCAAAAAGGAGGGAAAAGGAAGAAAATGTACTATTAATCCACTTAAGCTACAATTCACATAATCACAATATTCTAATACCAACTTTCATCTAAAATAAAATAAAATAATTCCTAGGTACACTCTTAAAATAGTAGAAGAGAAATGTTATGCAACCAATTTTCCTCTGACAAATAAGCCATTAAAAAATAAAAATAAAATTACATTTTTTTTCAGTTTGTCAATATTTATATTAACTACGGCCAATAAAACACAAATTGCAATGTAAAAAATATAGGAAACAAACCGTTAGTTGAGTGCGATGAAGACCGAAGAAAAATGTACTTACAGTTCAGATATTAAATTCTTTAGAGTTTTAGGGAGATTCCTCGGCACGTTCGAGAGGAGCCCCGTCGCTAAACACCCACTCACCCAAGGAAACAACCCATTAAAAGTAATTTATGAAGAAACCTCAAGGCTTAAGCCATCTAGGTTTTTATTTCTTCAACGATGCCGCTGAACAATTGAATTCAGGGAGATCAGTGGGTTTCAAGCAAAGAAATAATTTTTTTTTAGCCCCTTCAAGAGTTCGGACTGATGCGGTGGGCTCTTGGAAGTTAACGCAGGTTCGGCTATGGTGTGCTTGCTTCACAGGTCGTCGACGGTAGGGCGGTGTGCAGCGATTGAAGTGAGGGAGATGGGAGAGTTTAGGTGTGGTTTTGGTCAAAGTGTCGGTCGGTTTCTCTCTTGCTTGTTTTTATTTTTCATTTGGCCGTGTTTTCTTTTTTTTTGCTTTTCCAACACTTTATCATTTCATTCTGACACAATACACAGGTTTTGTACAAGGATATAGAAGGTATTCAAAAAATTCAGAGGGTCAAATATGTCCTAAAATGACATTTTTTATAGAACTTTAAAAATGTGACATTTTTTATAATGGCACGGCAAATTTTGACACCCAATGAAATTTCCTCTTTTTCTAACACTCTTTTTTTCTCATAATCATTTTCAGTCACACATTCTTACCATAAAATATTTTTCATGCAAACCAAAAATTTCTTTCTACATTTTAACCACACATTACATCAAAAAATTTACCATTTAAAAACTCATTCTTTCAAAAAAATTTTGTTAAACAGGGGCATGAAGCCGCCATTAGAGATGTCTTAAATGCATATTAACAAGCTCTAATGACAAAACAACATGCTCGACCAATCTATAATCTATTAAATATGACATCAAGGGAGAATAATTTTTTGACGATCCTATCGTTGCAATAATTTAATTATTTTAATAATATTTTCATATAATTTTAATTAATTCAATAGCACCCCGCTTTTCATTTTTTAATAGGTATTTAATTTTTTAATCATTGAAACCATTTAAACAATATTATCATTAATTATCTGGTTAACTATTTATTTATGATAAATGTACATTTAACACATTCGTTACCTTACTTTCCATTTTTCAATATATATTTGTCGAGGAAGATTGATTGCACAAAGGTTGATCAAACCAAATCAACACCCTCAAATCTTCAACCTAAAACCTACAATTATTCCCAAACTTCGGTTGCTTTGGTTTTACCCACAAAAGGACACACGAATGGAGATGTAATTGTAGCCACAAAAGCAAGACAAAATGGGGAAGAAATGGTGAAGAAGCACAAAGCAAAGGGGCTATTTTTCTCTCAAGAATAGTCACGGCAATAACATCGTAAGTAACCAAGCAAAGGAGGCTCAAATATATATATATATATATATATATCCAAAATCAATAAATGGCCCCAAGTGATTCAATAAGTGGGTTAATACTAATAAGACGTCTAAGAAGTGAGGGATTGAGCCATGAGCAACTGTACTTAAATTAGGCTGCTTTAGGGTTAGACCGTTTTATTGAGGTGTCAATACTTCAGTTAGTCATTTGGTTTATGCTGATTGAGAAATTATATTAATTTAACATCATCATCCGAGAGGTTGTTTGACAATAACTTGCCCAATAGTATTTACTTTATTTAACTATATTTGACAAATTCATTACCTTTTCGTTTTCAACATGTAATTGATTTATTTAACCTTTTGAACAGTATTATCATGAATTATTTTGTTAATTATTTAGTTATGATCAATGCACATTTAACACATTCATTCCATAAATTAAATATATTAAAAAAAAATTTGGAATAAAAGATGAATATTTTTAGAGTTTTCTTCCAATTGATTTAGAATGTTAAGATACAGAGAAGGCGTATGAGGGACATAATGTGTATATAATAAATAATTCCAATTGATATATTTAATGCATATTAAATGAATATGAAAAAATGATGGTATTCGTTGGATATTCAGTTCAAATCAAAAGGGTAAATGGAGAAACTGTTCTAATTGGTTTCTTCAACTACTAAAATTAATTTCACAAACTGATTTTTATTTCATTTGAATAAAAAGTTCATTCCACATAAACAATTTGTATTAATTATTTTTTATATTTTTACATCTCACACTATTATTTCTATATCACATATAAAGCAATTCAGAATAACGAGCACGTTCCTCGATGACTAGTCCTCAAAAATGTCAAGAACTTCTCAGCAACACATTGAAGTTTTCGCATTTTACATTTTCATATGCTCATTTTTTTTTTTTGTTATTTAATAATTAGTATATAATATGATTTGAAATATTAATTAAATTTGCACTTGACACACTTCATTTGATCATAATGACTTTTTTGTATGATCTAATCAAATGCACCCAGTGCAACTTAGGTGTTTAATTTAAGTGCATGTCGAAACAACAAAGAAATATCAAGGACGAAGTTTGATACTGAAAATACGTATCTGGATGAATTTGAAAATTACAACTGTAATTGAATAATATTATTCTTTAAGGAAAAATTATATAATTACAAAGTTTCAAAATACATTTTCAGAAATAACAAACTTTCAAAAATCAAATGGTTATATTTTGTGACACCTGGTACAATATTGTTATCTATAATTTAATTAATTCACTCACGGTTACAATCACATACAATTTATGGTCACAATGACATACTAATCACAAATCAAATAAAGTCACAGACTAAATTTATGAGACACAATTACAAATTTGATAGCAAATTAAACATTTTATTAGGCCACAAATTATGTAATTAGTAGATCACAAACACTCTCACCCACCCAACTACTGTCCGCGCCACCCAATTTATTATCACCACCTAAAATCCACCACAACCACCGTCACAAATTCAAAATTACCACTTTCACCTTCAACCCCTGTCACAATCATCACCACCACCACCTCAAAATTCTTAGTCAAATCACCATCATAACCACCACATTGACCTTCAACACACCACCAATCACCCACATCCATAGTCAAACCACCATCCAGCACTACCACCACCGTCGCCTGGCCAAATTAGACGCAAACAATACCACCATGGGGCGTTTTTGTATATCGTGAGATCAATGACGGTGGTCCTATCACCTGAAATGAATCAAGAGTAGGCGGATTGAAGCCAGTCATCGATTGATTGGCTCCAAAAATTATGTATTGGAGCCCAAATTGTAGGGGAGGTTATTCCATCGTCAATGAGGGGTGGATTTAGAGGTTTGGGCGACGACTTCGATACATTGGTCGTGGGGTGTTAATGGAAGGCAACTTGAGAAAGGAGAATTGGAGGATGATGAGATGGGGTTATATTAAGAGCTTGTTTGAGTCTCATTTTAGCAAAAAATGTATTTTGAAATAGTTTGATGGATCATGTGGTTAAAAAATAAGGAAAAATTTTAAATTTGTGTGTAATATATATATATATATATATTGGGTTTCATGTGTGACATACATATTACATCAATATTTATCAAATCTAATGAAAATTTAATTTCAAACTAGCTAAATAATAAGAGTAATGTTATTGAGCCACCCTAGATTTACAATCTCAATTTAGGTGACGGTAGATAACAAATTGAATTAAAATTGAAATTAAATGACTTATGTAATTCCATGTATCATTTTAATATCATATTAACGTCACATAAATTGTAACTCTGATGGGCTGCATAGCATTATTCAAATAATAAAAGAGGAGAAAAAACAATAAATAGAAAATGAAATAATTCTATGATCTCCCATGAGCCCCCCAATCGACCCCGGCTATCCGGGCACCACCACTGGAACTCCACAGCCATCGATAATTATGAACCTAAATTTTTAGGTTTTAGAATTCAATACCGACAGAATATCAGCAAAACAAATACAAAAAGCATTGCAGGCTGGATTCACCATTCTCCAATCTCACTCAACCAAAGCCCAAATCGTTATCACGTTCTGCGAAAAAATTCCAAATGCAAATCGATGTTTGAAATCCCAAATTGATGGGCTAAAAACTCACCAACGACAAACCCACCTTCACCGTGTTTTGTGGAAATTTCAGGGAAGCCTTCGGTTCTGCTTGATCCCATTGCTATGCATTTTTTATTATATTGAAATGCATTTTTGGTGCCTTGCAAGTTGGAGTCTGGGTTTTTGATAGAGGGATAAGTATGTTAAACAAGAAAGCATGTGGTGGATGGAAGAGATTCTTTTTATGCCTACCTGTCATCTTCTTTTTTGCTTATATGCTCCCAGGTAATATGATTTCCTGGGCAAATTGTTTACTGTAAGTCCTATGGAAAATTGCATCTGTTAATTATCAATTACCATTCAATGTTAATTTACATAAAAAGTGGACTCACAGAAATTAATAAAAATGGGTAGTCATTAGCATTTGACTTTATTAAATCTTTGTTAATCTTTTAACGACGATAAAACTCAAGAAATGACTTGTTTGCTTCTTGTCAGTTTTGAAATTGCAGCAACACTCAAGTGCACAATATCAACACAAAGAGAAGCCAAAGAAATTTGATCATCTAGTTCTTGGACCCGCTTCTGGTGAAGGCGTGCCTGATCGCCTACAGTGTCAAGGTTTTGTACATCTTCTTTCCTCTTTGATAAGGATTTAGATTTTTTCTATATTTTGCGCCGGCATGTAGGGGATCTCATTGTTGATTGCTTGTTTATTCGCACATGTGCTGCAGGCACCAAGGCTCTTAATAAGACATCCGTTAGAACATTCCCTAATGATTCTCGTTCTGAAGATGTTGTCGTGTTTGTCACTGTTTTTACGACCTACAACTCTACGGTTGACAGGCGCATCAATGGCAGACCAGTTGATTTGGTCACTATTGGGGACACTTCATACAACAAAATTGAGAGGTCAATGGCTATTTTGGATGTATTTATAAATTTCATCCAGGTATATCCAAGTAATACGTTCAAAGAACTAGAGTTGAAGGATAAATTGTTTAGAATATGTTTAATGATTCAACTTAAATGTCGATTGCTATAATATATCTGGACATGTATGTAAAGGCATGCTATATGTTACAACATAACAATACAAAGAACTTGCTATAGTTTATCTTATATACTGGTTCTATCAGGCCGTGGTGTTTAGGATCTAAGACATTCAATCTTTGTATTCATGAAGGACCTACTTCATGCATAATTACAGGGTTTAATCCCTACTCTTGAGTTCTGAATTGTATATTGAATATTTATAAATTTGCAGCAAATGTCAAAAAGCCAAAATAAAAATTTAACTCCAAAGTTTACCGCTAATGTATATCTGGTTTTGACAAATAGTCAAATACTGAAATACAGTCTGGATGCATACAGGAGGCAAGAACTGATATATCTCTTTCCCCTTATCACTGTCTGGGCTGGAAAATTTGGAAACACCTTATGAAGAAAATTTTCATCAATAACAATTTAAATTTTTTTATTCATGAAAAAAAAAATTGTTTGTAAATAATTATATTGCTTTTAGGTCAGGTCTTGAGAAAAGTTGATCTTGTTCTGTGTTGAGCTGACTTGCATAATTAGATGACTTACTCAACTGGCACAGCTTCTCAATGCACTTAAATGACATACTTTGCTCATGATGTAAGGGTAACATATACCATAAAATATTATTAAAAGTTAGGTTTACCATTTTTTAGACTATATCATTGATTGATAATTTTTGACTCTGTAACATCGCTAGCTCTGCTGCAAAAGAAATCATAGCAAGGGACCTAAATTCTGTTGAAATATATTTTCACAGGCAATGTTATTCTTGCTTCTGGCATTTAGTTAATTTCCATTTACAACTACTATAGTTATATGCCAAATCAATACACGCAGGTTACTATGCCGCAGAGTGATGTTATCATACTAACGGATCCAGCCTCTGAGCTTCCATTGCACAGAGATAAGGTTACCATACATCCAATACAAGGTGAATATTCGAGGGACAAGTTGATGCTCCAAAGAATCAGGTCTTACATTGTAAGTGCGCGATGCACTGTTGGAAAGTGACACACCCTGTTGTGTCATTAGCTGTTCTCCCTGATCTTCGCAGCAGATTATGTTTTAAAGTTTATGGGACATTAAAAGCCAATATTTTTTCTATATATGATGGAATGATTGATCAAAGCAACTACTATTTTATTTGAGCTTCACAGCAGATTTTCTGGAGACTGTGAATCCAACCCTTGTTATACAAACGTTTATATATATATGAATAGTGATGTACAGCATAATTTGAACATTTTGTTCAGATTGTTATGGGGAGAGGGGGGAAGTGACTCATTATATTCTCTGAGAAGCGTCCGATATATCCATCATTTTGGCTGGCAACCGTGAACACCTTTTTCTTTTCTTTTTGTAAATTCTGAAGTTGCCAATGAGTTTCTAACCTAGCACTTTGCAATCCAATATGGTTATCGATGAAAACAATTTTTCTATGTATCTGCTTAATTTTGGCCATTATGATAGGAGTTTAGTGGGGGGCACAAACTGAAATTTAAGTTTGACTTTACTCAGAGATTTGTGGTACTTGAACTTGGGAACTCTACTTCAAGAGCCCAATGTTGAGCTCTTAACCTTGCACTCTAGTTCTTATTATGTAATTTGAGGTGATTGTTAACATTCTAGTTTTGTGTTAGGACCATTTTATAGAAAAATTGATGGCAGATTAATTTATCTAAAGCTCGATCTGTAGACACAGAAGGACTTTCTACTTTACTTCCACTTAGAATATTACACTCTGGTTTTACAATTGATTCATTGTTTCTGCAGGCCTTTCTAGAGATAAGGCTTGAGAAACAGAGTCAGATGCAGGGGCAAGTCCATCATTACATTTTCACTGACTCAGATATTGCTGTAGTAAATGACCTGGGACAAATATTTGCAGACTATTCTAATTTTGATCTGGCTCTCACCTTCCGAAACAACAAAGAGCAACCTCTGAATTCAGGCTTTATTGCAGTGAGGGGCACAGCCGAAGGAATTCTGAGGTGCATTAATTTTTTGATTAAATTTCAATTTTCTATGATGAAAGACGGTTTTGCATTCACGTCTAAGATGTATGCTGGACAAGGATCCATGAAATGCCTGGTGGATAAAAAGTGGCAGAAATTGTGCCTTTATGAAGGCATCCTCTTTTTTTGAGTTAATATTAGAATGAACACCTAGGATTAGGTGCTTGAAGATATATAAAAAAATTGCTTGCATTTTTAGGCTTTGGCTGATCTATCATGATGCAACGTTCATAATTTATATAAATAAATTTTATCTTCTCTTTGAATCACCTGTTACAATTTCATGTGCACACCTCTTTCCTCATTTCTCTTTCTGAAGCATGTACTTCTTGTGCGCAGGGCAAAGGCTTTCTTACAGGAAGTATTGAAAGTTTACAGTTCCAAATTCATGAAAGCTTCTCGAATGCTTGGAGATCAATTAGCTCTTTTCTGGGTTGTAAAATCTCAACCTTCCTTTGATGTAAGAAGGTTCGCTAGAAGAGAGGCTTTTATAGATGAAATTGGCGGTGCCTCGGTGCTTTTCTTACCATGTTCTAGTTACAATTGGACACCGCCAGAGGGAGCAGGTCAATTTCACGGGATGCCCCTGGATGTGAAGGTAAGAAATGAGTTTGGTTGTAACATATAAACTTGACATATGGCCAAACCTCCGTTTGTCAAAATTTATATGTCATTTGGTTAAAACTTCATTTTCAACCGAACATTCTAATGATCCCACAAGTAGTATCCATTTATTCACTCATTTCTATCTATTTATAAATTAAATCGTTTTTGAATTCTTCCTGATAGGAGATGCTTCGAGGACCAGTTTTCCAGTATTTCTTACTTGAGATTTATTTATTTCTGGGAAAGTTGTGTTGCTATTTCATCCCCACCCTATTTTTGTTGGAACCCCCCCCCCCCCCGGGGGGAAGTTATCATTTTTGTAGCATCATTAGTGCACAATGATGGATTCTATCCATTTAACTCTTAAAAGCCTGTTATTTGACAAGAGCGCTGCTACCCGTACAGGGCCCTGCCAGACCCTCACACTTGCGGGCCCCGGCATAATTTATTTATTTATTTATGTGGGACCAGCCCCTACAGTGAGCGGTTGGTAAGACCCCTGTGAAGCTCAGCTATGTACACATATCTTAATACATTTGACAAGACTTGCTTTTAATTAAAATAAATAAAAGTAGAAGGAAATAAACAAAAACTTAAAATTTTAAAAATGAATTTCACTCATCTTCCTCACTGACCCACCCCCACCCCGCTGCCTGCAACCCCCGCACTACACTACAAGGAACTTGATTCTTGAGAAATAGCTTAGGTTGTAGTACGAGTTATATAAAATTTTTTAGTTGATATTCATTTATTTTATGAAGGTTTTCTTGAATGCATCTTTGAATCTGAAGTCTGGCTCAATTTCTGGACACAGGTGGTTCATTTCAAGGGGTCACGAAAACGACTTATGCTCGAGTCTTGGAATTTCTTGCATTCCTCCTCTTCTTCTGACATCTCAGATATGTTATGTCTTATCTTAAAGAGTGGAAGAACGAAATATGATTTTTAAATCCGATGTCCACAAGGTTATATGACCATGAAGCTGGATCCATCATGTAAGTTTGCAGGAACTTGACTAATTCGTTTGGAGTTTGGTGCAGTTTGATGCACAAATCCAGGGCCACGTGTATTCTACCATCCTTGGAGTCTTTCGACTTGAATTTTATCATACACCTTTTTCTCTCCCCCAGTTACCATTTGGTCATGGCCAGTGGGTCTCCCAAGAAGAGAGGAAATGCATATCTCAGAGACATCTCGTTGATCAAAATTTGCACCTGTGCTCGTTGTAATTGATAATTTGCTTCATTCTTTTTTAGTAGATTTTCATCTCAACGTTCAGACTTACGTGGTTGTTTTTTTGTTATGAAGTGTAGAGTTTTGAGAACATTTGTGTCTACTTTTATTTTTCCCATTTGGTTGAAATTATACAACAGTGAACAGTTGTGAAAATTTGTTGGTTTCCTGGTTTTGAGGTTAGAGGCGAAGTGTTCCCTTCTCTGAAATTTCTTGGCGACTTATTTTACCCCACGGATTATTTTTAGCACGTTGGGCTAAATTAATCTTAAGAAAGCCAGGTACCAAGATATAATTCAGAAATTTCCAATAGCAGGATTCTTATATAAAAAAGGGCAAAAGCAGTTGGGCTGAGAATGAAAGAATTGCCAAGGGCATGGTTGGCACATAATACTCATATCTTACAATGAACATGGAACAATATTTTACCTTTTTTCGTGTACATTGTTATGCAATCTTTTTTATCTAACATGTCATAAGAGTTGCATTAAAAAAATGGCAATGCAACCAAGGTGCAGAAGGAATGACAAACATGAAAATAAAAGCTTCTATTCGTAAAATTTGTGAAAAATGTCACCTAATCCGTGGGCGAGATGCATTAGAGTAATTTGTTCCAACTCGGGACATAAACAAAGACTACGATTATTAGACTCACTAAAGAATTCGATAGGTAAATAAGGAATCTGTTTTGATACACTACTGTAGGAAAGAAAGGCAAAAAAGGACTCAAAAAGATAGGTTAGTAACGGACTAAAGGTTGAAATTGGCAGAGAGAGGCTTGATGTCCTATTCCCATACTTGGATGATGGGATAACTATACAAGTGCTTGCTCAAATGGCCACAGCCCGTTGCGAATAAGTCAGCGATCCACTCTATTCTATAATTCAATCGTGACAGCTTGTCTTGCTACAAAGATCTGCTCCCAAGTATTATCATCATCCAAGATTTCATCAAACAATTTAGAAAGATCAATGAACGGTAATGACAAAATTTCAGCCAAGTCACAATTGGATGTAAAAATTGATTAAAACTTCGACTTATAACTTGGTATTATACTTAAGCCTCGATAAGGGAAAGATTGTTACATAAGATCACTTCAGAAGGACACAAACCTACCATCTGCTGACTTGACTATAGCATACATGATTATGCATTAGCTAGCTTATCTCATTCTATATATCTGACTTTGCATGGTAATGGAAAGAACAAATTTTAGTACACGTTTTGTAAATAGTATTAAGCAACATTAGAAATCACGTGCATTGCCATTGCTATCCAATATAGCATATCTATTGATACAAGTCTTCAATGAACCACTGCATCAAGAGATTCAAGACAACTAACTCAAAAAAGTACGGCTTGAAGTTAAAGGACCACAGAATTGAAGAAATTTTCTACAAGGCAGTACAAGTATTTCTGATGTAGGATGCAATGAGACAATTGTAGTAGAAGGGGAAAGGGGAGAGAAGAAGAGAAATGAGGGGGAAAAGAGGGAAGAAGGTTCAAAGGTTACCAATTACATAGCATAAGATCCCTTTATATAGGGTTTCAAGAGACCTATATTAAAGTGAGAAAATACTACAAAAAGGTAATAAATCAGACTATAATTACATTTCCTAAAATAAGCATTTAAATCTGGAAACTAATTATAATATCCCTTCTAATTCTTCATCATTTCTCCCTAGCTGAGAGAACTCGATTCCAACGAGATAGGCTACAACCTATTGTCCAAGGTCGATCTTTCTTTTTCACCAAATAACGGAACCATTCATATGTCAATAACTAAACCGAAAAGACATTCTCAAGCTTCTGATTTGACCAAAGGGGACGATTTTTCATTGTAACCAAGTAGCAATAAGGAACTCTAAGAAGCCACAACTTGTGCAACTCATCATAAAAACTATTACAGGATCCACTTAACACGCACAAGGTACTAGCACAATGGATTGGATTGCAGAAACAAATGAGTGCAACAATAGTGGCTCTAATGTACCTCGATAAGGCAACAATTCTATT